ACACTATTCATTACTCCTACTATTTCATCCTTAAATAATGTGGCCAAACCTATTATAGTGAACTTTTAAATACAGATAGACTATTATAGTGATTCGCATTCTGCTTCTACTTTTAAAAAATAAGCAGACACATGATCAATCCCAAACACTTCCTAAACTAATCAAAGTGTAATGTTTTACATCTATTAAAAATCCAAAATGTAAATAGTATGTGAAATGCCGTATTAGGCATTAGATAGAAATAAAATGTATTAATGTTATAACTTTTTACTATCAAATTTAAAAATGTAATTTTAGATTGAAGTCTATTCTGGTCCTTCTGGATACAATTTAAAAATGGAAATAAACACGTAGAATTGTGATGTGTTTTACAAAAGCTTTTGTCATTCACTACACAAAAATAACGAAATTGACATGAACTAGTCGAAATTCACAGTGGAATTGGCACAGATACGCTCATACGCCTAATACGTGTCAAAAACAATTTGTCATGAGCTATTTTTTAGTACAAAATCATCGATCAATTCATGCCAAATTCATGTCAATCCCACAATTTTCCGTTGTGATTGTATGTAATAATAAAATATGGAGTAATATTTTATTAATTTTGTTCTTTTGATGTGTTACTTAACTATCCTGCCCCCAACAAGTTTTCTTTCTGGATCCGCCACTGAATATATGTGTGTGTTTAATACATGGAGTTACATCTTTATATGAACGATTTACATCTTCGTGTTTATGAGTTACATCTTTTTATAAGCGAGTTACATCTTCTGAAGCGCAAGTTACATTTGTAATAACATGAGTTACATAAAAAAACAACTCCTGGTATTCAAACAAAAAAATGATTTTTTTAAATTCTTTATCAGGTCATGATATTAAAAACCAAACATATTGACGGTTAACATAAAGTAATTGTGCAATTAAATTCTCTTTTTCATTGTTTACATTGAAATCAATGTTTTATTTCTTATACTATGTATTTGATAAGTTACATTTCGAATGGACTAGAGTTACATTGATCAACAACGTGAGTTACATATCCTTACGCGTGAGATACATCATTCATACTACTGGGACAAAAAACAGTTACTGGACACGCGTGTACTGTTCACACGTTACTGTTCACGCGGATTTTTTTAAAAAAAAATTATGCAAAACTACGTTGTTTTGGGTGTGGGAGCACGGTGCTCACCGTGGGGCGAAACCACGGTATACGAACTCATTAAAATTGTTCTAAGACAAATTGAGGACAATAGTACGATGTGTATCAGCGTATATATGCCTGATATTAAAATTAAAGTAAAATATATTTTTTAGAAATTATAAAAATAGATGATACTCCCTCCATATTTTTTTGTTTGCTACAATAGGTGTTGACACATTTTTTTAAGAGTGAAATAGTAAGGGTAATGAATTGTGTAGAAAAAGTAAGAGAGATGGTAGAAAAGTATGAAAGAGAAGATAAAAGTAGGAAAAGTAAGAGTAATTGAGTATTTTTAAAGGAAAAACTTATCAAAAAGGAAGAGTGTAGCAAATTTGTAAATACATCCAAAAAAGAAAAATGTAGCAAACAAAAAATACGGAGGGATATATATAATTAAAATTATACAATAGTACTACATATAATTTTGGCATTGTTCAATTCTATAAAGTGTCATGCTGTGTCCGGACTATAACAAGCTAAGGGAGTGTTTGCAATCACTTAAAAAAACACTTCTCAGCTTTTGGCTTAAAAAAGCACTTATTTACCAAACACTACCAATTTTTACTTTTTCTCGGCTTGCGTGTGAAAAGTGCTTTTCCCCTTTCTATTACATAAAAAGCACTTATTTTACCAAACACTATCAATTTTTACTTTTCAAAATCACTTTTTTCTCAAACACTATCAACTTTTCCTACTAATCACTTTTTCCTTACATCTCCAAAAGTGTTTTTTTTAAGCAGAAGCAGTTGCAAACACTCCCTAAGGCAATCATTCCAAGCAGGGGTTTTGCATAGTGCACTAAGGGAGTGTTTGCAACAACTTAAAAAAACATTTCTCAGTTTTTGGTTTAAAAAAGCACTTATTTACCAAACACTGTCAATTTTTACTTTTTCTCGGTTTGCGTGTGAAAAGTGTTTTTCTCTTTTCTATTACACAAAAAACACTTATTTTACCAAACACTACCAACTTTTATTTTTCTAAATCACTTTTTTCTCAAACACTATCATCTTTTACTACTAATCATTTTTTCTTTACATCTCCAAAAGTGCTTTTTTAAACAGAAGCAGTTGCAAACACTCCCTAAGCAGTTGTTTATTTGTGACAATGTACGTATTTGAATTGGCTAGTAACTTAATCGTTGAATAATTATGGTAATTTTATTTTATTTAGACTAAATAAACACAGCCTTACCATTTAGTCACGGACCAAATTGTGACAAAAATCCGTGACTATAACGCTTTTTTTTTGTAGTGAAAAGGTCATGAACTCATTATATAATGATACTCCTTCCCATTAAGATGCTTATCAAGACGTTTAAAATCCATTATCGTCTATCGAATACATGTACATTTACCTAAAAGAAATTTAAATGCTTATCAATAGTATTGCTCAATAAAAGCGTTATTCAGCAAACGAAGTAAACACCACAAAATCATTCGAATTGGAACTATTACAAAATCATTCGATACAAAACAGTAAATGGTTTAAACTTAGGAATTGAGCTCGTATAATATGATTATGACCGCCTTGTAATAGATCATAATTCAGCATATAAAATTATTAAACCATCCATTATATGTCCTTCCATCATCATCATAATAATTATCTAATAGAAAACTATCTAAGCTTAAAATGGGGCTCTGATTGTAGGTCTTATGGTGAGGTAATTAATGTCCATCAATTCTTTCATGCAATCCCATTGAGTGAATGTATTATTCAAATGTCCCAAGTGTTGAGAGTTAAGCATGAGAGTGTATTAAAGTGTAAGAATCCCTCATATATGAGCTTACTTATTATATCCCACAAATAAACCTCCAATTATAACGTTGTGCAACCTCATCTTACAAAACTACTTTGATATCTCTACTATAATGAAAAAATTCTTATAAATAAAATACTAATAAAAATAAAAGAGTAAAAGAAATTTGATAAGTATGTGTACAAATATTGAGGTTTTTTCTGAAATATCACTAATAAAAAACCTATGGACAAAAATGTGACTATAAGATACTACGAGTAAATTTATAGTCACTATAATGTTACTTTTGAATACAATTATATAGTCACCTAAGGGCATCCCCATCCATAGATTATTTTTGGGATCATTTTGATGATATGGAGGATTTTTTTTAGGATCATGGATGAGGAGTTGAGATTATTTTATGAGATTATTTGATAAAATAATCTGGTATCAAATTCTAAAGCTGAATTGTTTTGAGATTATTTCCAACTTTAAGACTCCTCTCTCCATTCTCTAGACATATATTCATAGTTTTTCGTGCATGCTCATGCTTCTATCCATGCTGGTGCACTAGTACTGGACTACTGGCACTAAATTAACCATTGCTATTATTTAAAGTACTGGTGATAAATTAAACTAGCATGCAGCACTAAATTAAGGTGATAACCGTTGCTATTATTTAAAGTACTGGTATTATATTATACTAGAATGCACTAATTTAAAATTTTAAAAATTGAAATGTTAGAAATTAAAATTTATAACATTTGTAGTATGTATAGTACTTACTATATAATTTGTAGTACGTATAGTACTATAATAATGTACGTATAGACTATGTATGTATGTATGTATGGAGTACTCTTCCGGTCAAGAATTCCTGACCGGAACCGCCGTCCGGATGACGGCATTTGGCCGCCTTCCCGGTGGCATTTTTTGATGAAATTTTTATGGCATGTTCTCCATCAAGTCTAGTTTATCCCCAAAAAATTCAGCCAAAAACTCAATCGGGAAGATCGTCAAATGATTTTTTCAAGTTAACTGATCTGGAATATGTATTTTGCGGACCAATTAACTTGAAAAAATCATTTGACGACCTTCCCGAATGAGTTTTTATGGAGAACATGTCATAAAAATTTCATCGAAAAATTTCACCCGGAAGGCGGTCAAACGCCGCCGTCCGGACTGCGGTTCCTGTCCGGAATTCCGGACATGAACATTTTTGTGTGTATGTATGTATATATGTATGTATGTATGTATGTATGTATGTATGTATGTATGTATGTATGTATGTATGTATGTATGTATGTATGTATGTATGTATGTATGTATGTATGTATGTATGTATGTATGTATGTATGTATGTATGTAGTACGGAGTAATATATTGGTGTATGTCTCATAAAAAAATCTAGGTAAATTAAGGGTCTGTTTGCAACTGCTTTTAAAATCTAAGTGTATGAGTGATATGACTCATAAAAAATCTAGGTAAATTAAGATCATGAATGAGAAATTTATTGGTTTGAAGAATATTTGATATTATCTTATGTGGAGGTGATATGACAATAATAACCCATGAAAAACCGTAAAGTTGAAAATCACCGAGGTAGATGCTCTAATGTTACTAGATCACATTTTTGTCCCTAAATTTGTTATTTTGGCCAAAATTTATTACTCTGTATAACATAGGGTTGGTTTGCAACTGCTTTTAAAAAAGCACCTCTCAGCTTTTGGCTTTAAAAAAACACTTATTTTCTCAAACACTACAACTTTTATTTTTCTCGACTTCCGCGTCAAAAGTGCTTTTACTTTTTCTATTACACAAAAAACACTTATTTTACCAAACACTACCCATTTTTACTTTTCAAAATCATTTTTTTCTCAAACACTATCAACTTTTATTTAATCACTTCTCCCCATTTCATTAAAAACACTTTTTTAAAAGAGAAATTGTTACAAACAGACCCATACGAATTCGCAGAAATTAACAGAATCAACATTGGATAGCAATGATAAAAGTTAATTTAATTTTAGTAAAATTTCATCAATACCTATGAGAAAGCAGAACTTGGGAAAGACCGAAAGACGAATCCAATTTCCACAAACCAAAGTCAATAAAGGCTGTATCTGAAAAAACGGAGTTTGGAGGGAAAATGTCGACCAAAAGGGTTTGACTCTCAATCCTCCGCGGTTTTGGGCCAACTTTTCTTACTTTTCTTTTTAAAATGCGTTAACGCTGAATCAAATTCTCAACCCCCCTTGAAATCTTTCAAATATCTAATCGATTTTCCAAATACTTTAGATTTATCAAATTTCCCCTCTACATTCCATAACTTTCTGGAACCGCAGTTGCAATTTAGTTTTCTTGCAAAGAAAGTTATAGCTTTCTTTGGTTTACCCACACCTAATTTTGATTCTGCGAGATCTAGGCTTATACTTATAATAATCCCTCGTTTGATCGATCGATTTGTACTTTTTTCTATAATGATCAGATTTTTGTTATTGTGATCCACTGTGGGTTTTGGAGTGCTACTCTTTATAGTCAACAATCCAAGAAGGCTTAAGCTTTAGCTGGGAAAGATTCAATCTTTGTTTGTGTTCAAGTGACAATTTGAACAAAGGTCTGATCTTTAGCCACTGTGGATCAATGGGTAATTGTTGTGCCTCGCCAAAAACTTCTGATGAAATTAGAGAAAAAAAGAAAAACCGATTTTCTTCTGATAGTTCACATGTGAATAAAGATGGTAACCAGAAGTTCTATGTGCTGGAGAACCCAACAGGGGATGATATTATGGCAACTTATAAGCTGGGGCATGAGCTTGGCCGTGGAGAGTTCGGGGTTACCTATTTGTGTACGAATAAATCAACTGGGGAGCATTTAGCTTGCAAATCAATTTCCAAGAAGAAGCTACGAACTCAAGTAGATATTGATGATGTGAAGAGAGAGGTTCAGATCATGAAGCTTTTGCCTAGGCATCCCAACATTGTGAGCTTGAAGGACACCTATGAGGATGATCATGCTGTCCACTTAGTGATGGAGTTGTGTGAGGGCGGCGAGTTGTTTGATCGGATTGTTGCAAGGGGGCATTATACTGAGAGGGCTGCTGCAGTTGTGACTCACACCATTGTTGAAGTTATTCAGGTGAAGTGTGGTTATTCTTGACTTTGATTTCTCTTCCCTGTTATTAGCTATTAAGTATTACTTGGTTTTGTTAATTAGTTTGTCTTTTTTTTTCTGACATTCTGGTAGAGCATTAGAACGTGTATATCTATTGAACAATATGCATTTTTGCCCTGTAACTACAGGATTGCCCGACTAGTCAATAGTCATGTTGATCTTTTCGTTTTCTAAGATTGGTAATTTAGGATTATTGTTTTCAACTTTTCTAGAATTTAGTCCAGAAAATTTCCACAATTAGTGAAAAAGTTTTATTCAAATTAGAGATCCAACAAATCGATTGTGGCATTGAATTGCAAAAGACACATTAAAAAATGGTATTTGGTTTTGCTAAGTTTATGAATTAGTTCTGGTGGAGCTATCATGCAGGCTTATTAGCATAATATTTAAAACATAAACACTCATTAGAAAATCTACTCATCTAGTAGACAAAAGCAGCCCTCCCACACATAGAGAGTATCCAGCTAATTGATGGAACCCACTCACACAACATTGTATTGATCAAGCTTCCTTTCTCATAATGCTACAGATGTGCCATAAGAATGGAGTCATGCATCGTGATCTCAAACCTGAAAACTTCCTGTTTGCAAACAAGAAGGAAACCGCTGCATTAAAGGCCATTGACTTTGGGCTTTCAGTGACTTTTAAGCCTGGTAACAGATCTTGATTGACATATGGGGTTATATCCCCCACCCAACACATCTAATGCTTATCTTTTAATGTAGACCTATAAACCTTGTACTGTTTTTTCCAGGCGAGACATTTAAGGAGATTGTTGGAAGTCCATATTACATGGCTCCAGAGGTTCTGAAAAGAAATTATGGTCCTGAAGTGGATGTGTGGAGTGCTGGTGTTATTCTATACATCCTACTATGTGGAGTCCCACCATTTTGGGCAGGTTATGATCCACATCTTTGAAGAAATGTAGACATTATTTTTTATTGTTTGCTTTAATATCTAACAATTAAAATTATTTTACTAGAATAGGATAATAGACAAAATGTGATTTTGCTGCTCAAAGGCAAAGATGGCATTTTGGCAGTGACTCAAGTGACCATTTTCATGTTTTAGTTTACTATGCAGTGACCATGCTGGTATTTGAGCAATGACGATAGTGACCAACTAACCATATAGTCATATTCTTGCCTATCAGCGTTTTTAGTAATATTATAGGAGAAGATCAAATTATAATTACAAAGAAAACATATTAATATAGTATTCTTACAGTATAACCAAAAACAGATTGAGGTCACTCTCGGGAATATGGACTGGGTAATGTAGCACATCGTAATCTTATAACTTATGGTAAAGTCACATTCTTTCAAGTGAACTAAACATATTCTTGATGATTTGCTGTAGAGCACATATTTATCTAAAAATGTTACTTTAGTATATACTTAATCCTGTTAGATCATGTGGTAATAAGTCTAATTTGTAAGGCATGGTTTTGTAAATAAGTAGCTTCAAATCACCCTAATTTTTTAGCCTTGTTTGAGACACTTGAGAGGCCACATAGTCCAACTTCACCAACATTTTGTTGTAGAAGCTTGAATTTTTGTTTTTGTTGCAGAAACTGAAAAAGGAGTTGCTCAAGCAATCATACGGTCAGTTGTGGATTTAAAAAAGGATCCTTGGCCTAAGGTTTCCGACAATGCTAAAGATCTTGTTAAGAAGATGCTCAACCCTGACCCCACCAAGAGGCTCACAGCTCTGGAAGTCTTAGGTAATGTTCAAACTTCACACTGAATGAGGATACATACTGAGTTTTCATTTTCATTTATCTTGATGAACTGCTGGTTTTAATATAATTCACCAAAATGTTGGCTCCCTCTTAGGCCCATTTTGTGTTATTTTTTCTGTGGATTCAACATTATGTGTATATTATACCTAGAGCAATTATTTGTTTGATGAAAACATTTCCCACAATGAGCTTTTTCTCAAATGAATTTATTTTGTCAAACAAACAAGATGTGAGTTTGTCAAACATTATTAAGGCTTAGGGGTTCATGCTGTTCTTCTTTAAATTTTAAGGTTAACCTCATAGAAGTTCTAATCTATTGTTGTGTATGTGAGTTTGTATCTTTATGTTTGGATAGTAGTATAGGATGGCTGCACAAATTCTAACCAAAGACATCTTGGGATATTTGATGCTTGCAGATCATCCTTGGTTGCAAAATGCACAGAAGGCTCCTAATGTTTCTCTGGGAGAAACGGTGATAGCAAGGCTTAAGCAATTCTCAATGATGAACAAGCTGAAGAAAAGAGCTCTAAAGGTACTTTTGTTTTTTGCATTCATGTTACTGTAATAAACTCATCCATTTCCCATTTATCCCTCCGCCCATCTAAATTGGCTCTCTACTCATAGGTTATAGCCGAGCATTTATCAGTGGAGGAAATGGCTGGAATAAAAGAAGTATTCAAATTAATGGATACAAGCAACAATGGGAAGATTAACATGAATGAGTTGAGAGTTGGAATGCAAAAACTTGGCCATCAAATCACTGATTCTGAGCTACAAATACTTATGGAAGCTGTAAGTGCCTTTAATAAACAATAACTACTCCGTATATAATAACTGTACTTAATATGTGACTAGCATATTAAACCTGTGGTGTATATCATTTCAAAGTGGTGAAATCTTTTTTTTTACAGGGTGATACTGATAAAGATGGGTATTTAGATTATGGGGAGTTTGTGGCAGTTTCCGTCCACATTAGGAAATTGGGCACTGAAGACCACTTGAAGAAAGCTTTTGATTATTTTGATAAGAACCAGACTGGGTATATAGAGATTGAGGAACTACGTGATGCCTTGGCAGATGAGATTGATTCTAACAGTGAAGAAATTATTAATGCTATAATGCAAGATGTTGATACAAATAAGGTTAGTTTGTTTACTTTTTTATTTTATTTTGCATTTACATATATCGATTGTTAATAATACTAATAATAATAGTAGTAGTTGTAATATTAGTAGTAGTAGCAGTAGTAGTAGTAATTATTAAGGAGTAGTATTATATTGAGTGATGCCATCATGGTCTAGACCTTTTTAGCACAAATTTGTTAAGTAACAGCAGCAGTAATAATTGATTGGTGTATATATACGTCTCAATTGGTTGAATGTCTGTAGAGTCGGGAACACTTGGCCTGAGCCCTGAGCCCACCCCGGTTTAATCCGGTTCACCTCTCACCCATGTGGTGTGACCTGGTTTGGTGATTAAATATGCCATCTTTGTTCTTTCAGGATGGTCGCATAAGCTACATTGAGTTTGATGTGATGATGAAGGCAGGCACAGACTGGAGAAAGGCTTCGCGACAATATTCACGAGAGCGGTATAACAGTCTCAGCTTGAAGTTAATGAAGGATGGATCCTTCAGCTAATGTCCTTTTATATTAAGACATGTATATGTGTGTGTGTTCGATCATCGACATTATTTTTTCCATTTTCTTCATTTCTTGTATTTTGTGTTTTGCATTTTTTTATCTACTTCGTTGTTTGGCTAGAGACCCTCAATACGTTCTTGAGGTTTAGAGTTTGAAGAATGGTGACATTGTCATTTGCTTGTAAATATAAGTATATAGTTCTTGCTCAAGAACATGTAGAGGTTCGGAAGAGCTAAAAATGTTTCACTATCTACGGTTGATTGTGTTTAGTGTATATATACACATCGAACATGAGAATAGAAGGATTCTGTGAAAAGAGTATGTTACAATTTGGATTATTTTACAGACAAAAGTTAGCCACAAGGGGATTAATTTGATGAGTTACGGGTTCTTATCAATCTTATGTATTGTGCTTTACTCATCTTTGTTTATCATCCAAAACCTATGAATTTTTAAAATTTATAGCTTGGTTTAGATGTTTTAGTTTTTTTTACCAGAAATGTTTTAGTTTTGAAATGAGAAGTCGCAGTTTTTCTTTTAGAAGTTAAAAACGCGGTGTTAGAACTCCACTGACTTAGAAGTTGCAGTTTTTATGAAATGTTTTAGTCATTTGATTGCATATTTAATTTAATTATCTTTATATATATAAAAGTAACATGGTGGGATTTCAGGTGAAAATGTATTTGCTGCCAACAATTCGATTATTAAAGTGTCTTAATTGATGTTTTATTAGGAACATTAAATAGCATATATGATGACGACAATAGAAGAAATATACGGAGTAATTATTAATTAAGTTATTTAAGATACTTAATCATGGAGCATTATATTAATTATTGTAAGTTTGTAACTCACGGTTACTACATTAAGTTATTTAAGATGCTTATTTATGGAGCATTATAATAATTATTGTAACCTACCGTTAATATATAATGCTAGATTGCTAGCTTATTATGAAGTAGTTAAGTAGTATAATATATAGTGCTTTTCCCGAGGATTACATAGTAACCCTAGGGTACAGTACTTAGGGGTGTTTGGATCTGATTCTCAAAACTGATTCTGCTCCTTCATGGAGCAGAAGCAGAAGCTGGAGTGTTTGGGTGAAATTCCAGAATCACTTCTGGAGCTCTAATTTACTCTCAGAATCGGTTTTTTAGAAGTTGGAGGGTACCAGCTTCTGAAATCTGATTCTGATTCTGCTTCTGCTTTTCAAAAAGAAGCAGAAGCGGAATCAATTCCAAACACCCCCTTATTATAATGCTTATCAAGTACTTCCTTCATTCTTTAATTCTTGCATCATTGTGATAATTGCACTATTCAGATCACATACCTTATTTTGATCATAATTTTCTACTAATATACATAATCAAATTATTACGTATAAAATGTTATTGAATTCACATCAATGTGAATTTCTAAAATATCAACTTTTTATAATATTTACTAATACATAATTAAATACCATTGCAATCAAAGTTGTGCATTAACAAACGTGAAAGTCAAATTGTTACAAAAATTAAAGAACGGATGATAGTATATTACTCCCTCCGTCCCCCTAAGTTTGGGACGGAGGGGTGTGGTGTGGTTTTTAAGAAAAAGTGTAATTGTGTCGTTGGTATTAAATTGATAAAGTGTAAATAAAGTAAAAATGAATTCTAACCACTCAAATGTTACCTAATATGGTATGGGACAAACTTAGTGGGACAGACCAAAAAGGTAAAACGGGACAAACTTAAGGGGACGGAGGGAGTATAATTCTCCTCTTTCAATAGAAAAAGTACTTCATATATTATATTTCTCCATGATTTTTTAAAATGTTGCAAAAGTTGATTTGAATATGAAATAAGAAAGTAAAAGTTGTGTCGTACAACATTTTTCCAAAATGAATTTGCATGTGGGATAAAGTCACGGCCTAAGCTTCTCATTTGGCACGTTTATTTAGAAAATAAGAGCCCGTTTGGAAGCATGAAAATCGATTAATTTGACTGATTCTGCTAAAATATATGAAGTTCTGGCTGAAGTAGCTGCATTGGCCGATTCTGTTGATTTAAGAAAAAATTATGTTTAGAATATACTACCACCGTCTCGGTGGACTTTGCCAAGTGCAAAGTAAGTGAGAAATAAGGATAGTAAAAACTGTGTGGTTGAGATTTGTGCAGAGGAGAGAGAAATGTGCAGAACCACAAATTAGTTGCTTTAATAGTAAAGTAGCAAAAGTTTTTGTGACAACCAAAAAGGGAAAGTTGGTAAAGTCCAATAGGACGGAGAGAGTATTTTATTAATAAAATAAAGAAAAATTATATGTAAAATTAACTAAAATGGTCATCTACACCAACTTCAGCCAATACAGCCAGAAAAGTAACTATAACCTTACTTTCTGCTTATTACACAACTCGGCACGAGAAAGCAAGCATTACGTGTTTGGTGAAAAAGTTGGCTGATAAGTCTGATTTCTCATTTGCAATAACTATGTGTATACACATGACTCGTGAAATAAATTATTTTAAAAAATAAACCAATTTTATCCATTAACCGTGCAACGCACGGGTCGATCGACTAGTTTATATAAACTGAGGATGATTTTACTTGGTCGGTGGTTAGTCCCAAACTAGACTGGACCCGACTTAAACAGACTAAATCATAATTTGATAGTTATAAAATACACAGAAACAATATATTTACTAGACCAGTTCAGATCATATTAGACTTAAACAGACCAGATCAAACCAACAAATTTTAGTCCAGGTAAAAACATTTTCATGCTTCATTTATATAGTTTTGCTGTTCTTTTTTTTTTTGGGAAAATGTGCAAATAGGCCCATGTACTAACCAAAAAAGGTCAAATAAGCCCTTATTTAGGAGGCTCTGTTTGGCCGTCGCCATTTGGAGTGGTTTCCGGTGGAATTTTTTGATGAAATTTTTTGAGCATCTTAATCATTGAGTGTAGTTCACTTATACAAAATTTCAGCTAAAACTTCAACCGGGAAGGCATTCAAATGAATTCTTGAAAATAACTGCGCAGTTAGAAGCGCAGTTATCTTTAAGGATTCATTTGAATGCCTTCCCGATTGAAGTTTTAGCTGAAATTTGGTATGAGCAAACTAGACTTGATGAATAAGATTCTCAAAAAATTTCATCCAAAAATTCCACCGGGAACCACCCCAAATGACGACGGCCGGACAGAACTTCGTAAATAAGGGCTTATTTGACCTTTTTTGGTTAGTACATGGGCCTATTTGCACTTTTTCCCTTTTTTTTTGGATGAAAGGTAAGTATGTTAAAAAAACATCCAGATAAGGTTTAATGCACAGTGCATTAGATATAGACTATTGTGTATCAGATTGAAAAAATGGACGACTCAGATTAATCCTGATTTTACACGTTAAGACCTCTTTTCATTTGAACCCCCGTTCGATATTTTGTTAACTAATTTAAAATGTTGTCTATTTTTTTTTTTTGAATTTTTATTTATGGTTACATTAACGCGTAATTAATTTGAGAAGTTTATAACTTACTTAGAAACTTTAACTGCATAGCCGTATTTTTTTTCAAAAAAGAATCGAGAACTCAGACTGAACCGGCCCGTTTCAACTTTCAAACGGGACGAGTAAGGTCTGGTTCCTATTAATTCGAAACTTGGTATACTCGGACAGTCGGACCGACCTACCCGTTAAATGAAACCAACGATTCTTGAAAATTTATCAATTATCCGGATTGTGCCCACCTAGTTAATTAATACTACGTTAAAAAAAGTAACATATTAATGTATTTTTGGATGGTTCGATTATGATTATTCCACTATCTAGTCTCTATAACAAAATAAACAAAAAGGAATAATACAGATTCGATTAGATCTGATCTTAATTTAAAAAAAAAATAAACAAACAATAAGCAATAAGAATAAAACGAACACCAAGTATCAAGTTCGAGTCCAATCCCAATCAAGGATGTTGACATCTAGATGAGCAGACACTATAATAGGTTTAGAAGATATATTCAAAAAAAAAGAAGAAGAATAAAATGCATAAATGGCTAGTCTAGGTAAAATATGCTACATCATTAAATTAGACATTTACTAATTATTTTCTCCTCCAATCACGGTAGTCTATATAGAAATTGCCTTAAATAGGAGTAAAAACGTTTTGTAATTCCAAAATAGGACTTTCATGTTTTTATTCCCTAAATAGGAGTAAAAACGTTTTGAAATTCCAAAATATGACTTTCATGTTTTTATTCCCTAAATAGGAGTAATTCTATCAAGTTTGGAAAAACATGCCATGTATTAAGCCTAGTAATGATAAACTTGGTAGAAATTAATTTCTATTCAATGAATAAAAAACATGATAGTCATATTTTCGAATTCCAAAACTTTTTTACTCCTATATAGGGAATTCTCTCTCGTCTATAACTACAACTTGCTGACATGTCAATAAAAAATTGGACAATGAGGAGAATGTTTGAATGTAGAAGGTCCTCTAGACTTGATGACGGGAAAAAACAAAGCATTCTCTTTCCAAAACACGGGACATTCACCAAGTTCACCGAATCATATTTCAACCGTCAATCGGAATGATCGGAGAAGTTTGCTACACTGCCAAAACCCGCCATCCTTGCCGAAGAATTCAAAATTGAATTATTTATTAGAGAAATGCTATGTGTACACAGCACTTCTACACACCACTACACATCATAAAAAGCCCACCCCCCTCCCTTTTCTAACCCATTTAACCCCCCACCACCCTCTCTCCTCTTCCAAACGTAATCCACTGCACAGCAAACGAACTGTCTGTGCCATTGTTTTCGTTTGTCTGTGAGCTCTTCTTTCTCTGAACTGGTGGTCGCCTCTGTCACTGGTGGTGATCGAGTGTGTATGGCGGCGACGATGAACGCCGTGGAAGCTAACAGATACGACGGCAGCGACGATGCGGGCCTGGGGTGGACATGGAAGGATATTTTCGGCCCGAGTCCCACTAACACGCCTGTTGTGCTTGAAGAGTGTGCGGTAGCGCCGGAGGTAGGGATGCAAGATGATGAAGACACGACAGAGAATATACTACGGAGGGAAGGAGTTGAACACGCTCCGGCTGCCATGCAAGGCGATGAAGGGGCATCGGATGGTAACACTGTGGAGGCTGAGCAAGGTAGGTGATTATGTAGTGTCCTTTCTTCATGGTTCTTATGTGGTGGTGTTACGAAGCTTCACAAAGCACAGACAAATAATATTGTCTGTTTTTGTATGTAGACAATTACAAATGTATTTTTGAATTTGGGAACATTATGAAGTTCATTGTCTTCTTTTAGAATGTGAGTATAATACACGAAGAGCGTTTTTAGAATGTCACTATAATACTATTTGGTTTGTCTGTACTTCATTTTATAATGTCTGTATTTTATTCATATGTTCTTCTCATTTGATTGATCATTATTTGAACTTGTCTAGATTCCATTTCATAATATCTGCATTTTATAATATTTTATTCATATGTTCTTGTAATTTCTTTGATCATTATTTGAACTTGACTGTATTTCATTTCCTACTGTCTGCATTTTATAATAGTTTATTCATATGTTCTTGTAATTTCTTTGATCATTATTTGAACTTCTCTGTATTTCATTTCATACTGTCTGCATTTTATAATACTTTATTCATATGTTCTTGTAATTTCTTTGATCATTATTTGAACATTGAATATGTCTGTATTTCATTTCATATTGTCTGCATTTTATAATATTTTATTCATATGTTTGTGTAATTTCTGTGATCATTATTTGAACTTGTTTGTATTTCATTTAATACTATCTGCATATTATAATATTTTATTCCTATGTTCTAATTTGTTTGATTATTATTTAAACTTGTTTGTATTTCATTTCCTACTGTCTGCATTTTTTACTATTTTATTCATATATTCATATGTTTGATCATAAATTAGTGTGTGTATTCATTTGTCTGTATAGAATTGATACATAATGTCTGCATTTATATAAATTTGTCTGTTTATACATATTCAATAGTCTGTGTATGAATTCACAGATGCATATGCACAGGAAGACGAGCAAGAAGATGTTAGTGTGGTTGCTCCGGTAGTGGGCATGAAGTTTGAAAGCACAGACGCGGTGTATGAGTTTTACAAAAAATATGGTAGGACTGTAGGATTCCCGGTTAGAAAAAGAACATCTACTAAGGATAGATCCAAGGGTGTTGTGGTGTCAATAGTGATAGAGTGTTCACGGGCGGGAAGTAGAGGTAGCAAGGCACTAAATTGTTTGAAACCTCAACCTTCAATGCAAACATCTTGTACGGCAAGAATTAGAGCACGCAGTACTTATGCTGGGTTATGGGAAATTTCACAAGTGTTTTTAGAACATAATCACCCCATGAGTCCCACAAAAGCTAGACTATTTCGTTGCAATAGGAAGTTGACATCAAAAGCAATGAGACATCTTGCCATTAATGAAGTTGCGGGAATTCCACTTAACAAGAGCTTTAACTCCGTTGTTGTTGAAGCGGGGGGGTATGATGCCCTACCTTTTATAGAAAAGGATTGTAGGAATTATATTGGAAAAATTAGGGAACTTAGGCTAGGAAGTGGTGATGCCATGGCTATACAAGCTTTTTTTTCAAAAATGCAAGCACAATGTCCCGGTTTCTTCTTTAGTGTTGATTTAGATGATGACTCACGCTTGAGAAATGTGTTTTGGGCGGATAATAGAAGTAGATATGCATACAAAAGTTTTGGAGATGTCATCACCTTTGACACAACCTATCTAACTAATCGATATGACATGCCATTTGCACCATTTGTGGGTGTGAATCATCATGGTGAAACTATATTATTTGGATGTGGCTTAATCTCAAATGAAGATACACAAACTTTTGTTTGGCTCTTTAAAGCTTGGCTTGATTGCATGGAGGGTTGTGCTCCAAATGCAATTATAACCGATCAAGACCGGGCTATGCAAAATGCAATTCAAATTGTATTCCCAGAAACGAGGCACTGTTGGTGCTTGTGGCATATCATGAGGAAGCTACCTGAAAAAATGGGTGGGTTTGCGGACAAAGACAAAATAATGTTCAACATTCACGACCTAGTTTATGATTCACAACATCATACTGAGTTTGAGGCAGGCTGGCAAGCTATGCTCCATAGGTATGATCTTCAGCATGTCAATTTCATACTAAATTATGGTGGTGGCAGATCATATGTTGTTTGTATTGTCTGTATATTACGTATATCGTTTGTATATTATTATTATGTTTACCCTTTACAGACATTTATTATTGTGTAGGTGTCACTATTGTCTGTGTTTTTTAGGTTTTCTCTTCACCATGTGAAGAGTTTCATAGTAATTTATGTATTGTCTGTATATGTAGTATATCGTCTGTAGAATATTGTAATTTTTACTCTGCACAGACATTTATATTCTGTATATCTCACTATTGTCTTTGTTTTAAGGTTTTCTCTTCACCACGATGAGTGGCTGGGTGTGATGTACAACGAACGTCATCGTTGGGTCCCGTGTTACTTGAAACCGTATTTTTGGGCAGGTATGTCAACCACTCAACGAAGTGAAAGTGTTAACGCCTTCTTTGGTGAGTATGTTCATTCTAAAACTAGTCTAAAACAGTTCGTGGATCAATATGGGCGCGCTATGAGAAAGAAGATTGAAAACGAATTTCAAGCCGATGGCCTTTCTTTGACTAAAATGATTCCATGTGTTACGTCGTTTGCAATTGAAAAACAAGTGCAACGTGTTTACACCATAGCCAAGTTCAAAGAATTTCGAACCCAATTACTTGATCAATTGTATTGTTATGTCATACCAATGATGGATGGTAAGACATATGAAGTGAAAGAGAATCGTGTCATCAATGGGTTTGATAAGAGTTGGACCTTCATTGTTGAGTATGATGTTTCTACATCTAAAGGAATGTGTAGTTGCCACTTGTTCGAGTTTCGAGGCATTTTGTGTAGACATTTTCTTATGGTGGCACTAAGATATAATGTCAAAGTGTTGCCTGATTGTTACATACTACCAAGGTGGCGGCGAGACATCAAAAGAGCTTACACCCGAGTGAAGATCAATTACGACGGGTGGATAACTACGGTGGAACAAGAAAGGTTTGATAGGTTGTGTACGACATTTGAGACCCTTGCAAACACCATTGCCGATGATCCGGAAAAATGCAAGAGCGTTATGATGTGGCTGGAACGGCAATTGGAACTACATAAACCCGCTCCTCCATATCATTCCTCTATATGTGGTGTGTTGACACCGTTACCGGTACCGGATAGTGGTGTGCATGCGGAAGTACCACAACAAATTAAGGATCCAAAGTCAGCAAAACGCAAAGGCGCTCCCAAGAAAAATCGTTTGAAGGGGCCGCTGGAAAAGGGGAAATCCAAGTCAAAGGTATGGTGCCCTGCACTATAATTGTTATTATACAGACAATATATATGCATGTACAGACATTGTACATATACGCACAGACATGAATATCGTACCTATGATTTATATTTGTTTTCCAGCCAAATACGCACAAGAAACGAAGCACAATGGACAATGCTCGACAGGAGTACGCTGGACAGGGGTTCGCGGGACAGCCGTACACTGGAGAAGGCTACGGTGGAGAGGGGTTCGCGGGACAGCCGTACACTGGAGAGGGCTTCGTTGGAGAGGGGTACCATGGTCAATATGATTATGGTGCAGTCAACAATAGTATGACACTACAATATCAAGACAGTTTAGATTTAAATCTGACTTTGTTTTGAGACATATGGCACTTTTTAAGTACTTATTTGAAATACATTAGAATGTTATGTTTTTTTGTGTGGTGTAGTCAACATTACATTTATAAAACTTATTTGTTGCAAACGTCTTACACAGACAATATATCCACAAATACAGACACATACTCTACTATATGTGTATACAAAATACAAACAATACCATAGGTCTTCATACAAACTTTTATACAATGTTGCATGAATTGCTTTCCAAAGTACTACATTCAAAAAATACAACCAAAAAAATACGGCCTACACAGACAGTTAATGGGGTCAAACAAAATGCATCTTAGTGTGTACTACAACCTACACAGACAACCGCAAAAATACAGACATTCTTGTAGCTTCGCCACAGACAAAAAATATATGGAAAAGACATTGTAGCATTATTGTACAACATGGCGCGGCCATTATTGTACAAAATACTACATGTAACCCCCAATGTATTTCTAATAATTACATATACAAAAAATATATACGTCATTGAACATAATTGTTCATCGTCGCGTCTTATGCTTGGTCTTCTTTCAATTTCCATAGTCCTTTAGCAAATTCACGTCTCTTATTCGGCATATTGGCGTACTCACACCCAGGTATGAATGGGATGTCCAACATGAGGTGTTGTGCAAAACTCAACACCATAATTCCACAATCTCCACTACACATAACACAAACAATATGTATTAGATGCTATAGTCACATAAGGGAAAAAAATGGGATGAATGGGTGTTTTTTACCCTCCCCGTTGTTGAGGGACAGCATCGACGGCAACAGCTTGCCACGGGTGGAGGTCGTCTCCCATGTCCCCTTCTCTTTTCCATGTTATTACCCGTAGTAGGTGGGGGAGGCGTTGCATGAATTTTGAAATGCATGATACGGTCCTTCCACTTTTCAAGGAGTCATACACTCTTACGCATTTACGTCGAAGGTCTATTTCCACCAACACCCAATGTTTATCCTCCACATTGTATGGTGTGAAAACCTAAAACATTTCCAAAATCAGATATTACATGTTTGTATGCAGACATTTACTACACCAATACGTCTGTACAGACATTTACCGTATCAAGTGCAGTCCAATTCGTTTGTATAAGATGGCGATCTCCTTCCCAATGCGCCTCATTATGAATTTCTTTATTCAACAGTTGTTGCTACAAAATTGGGAAAGCGAGCATTAATTTATGGGAATAAAACAGACAATAATAACATTTTAGACTCTCATATACCATAAAATAAGGACCCTTTAATGCACACTTCGGCCGTGTGGTCTCCTTATTGAGCAAGTATATAATAGCATCAATATGCTACAACAAATAAGTAGTTCTCAAATTAATAAAGGGCATGTAACTGAAGTAACAATTATGTGAAAGATAAGATTGTAGATAAAAACTTACGTAACTCGCCAACCACTTATCAACCGTTAGAAGGTCATGGAAAAATTTCCTTTCAACATCTGGTAAACCGGGTACAACAAGATGTACATGTGTCGGGTAAATATTTTCTGCTTCATCAATCCATTCCTTCAACTTATTCCACTCAACTTCATCATTATCTAATGGTTGAGGGTTGGTGAAGTATTCATATCTACCCATTTCAAGTCGGGTTAAGTCCTCATCCAATGGATCATTCTGAGCTACTGGATCGTTAACATCAACGTCGTCCCAATCCATATTTAGAAATGCTAGTTCACTAAAGGTCTCACCGGTAAACTACACACCCATACAAGCCTCAAGTTATGACATTGTAAAAAGACTGAGTAAACGCAGACAATACAAAGTGCTCACATATTGTCTGTATACAAAGTACGCAGACAATGGCACACAGACAATTGGCCTCACAAGTTAAAATCACGAAGTAAATACAAGTGAAATGAAAACCAAAGTAATTAGAGTAAGTGCACCTCTTTGGTGAACAACATCAATTCTGGAGGGGTATGACACTCTTCAAAGAGACCGTGTTCTTCTTTCATCAACATCAACTTTAAATTTTACATAAACATTGTAAAAGAAATCACATAAACTGTGACTGGAAACCTTTAAATAGGGAGTATTTACTCTGTCACCACACTTACGTCATTCATCACATTTTTGATCACAATGTCTGGACTTTGACGTATCTGTTCGTAACATAACTCAACATAAATATCTTTTTAAAATGGAGTTCAAATAGGTGTTATAAAATTGTTTCTGAACATAATTATATAGGCTGTCTCAAACCACTCATTACCGAAATCCTAAACATTGACCTAAATTGTGTCTAATGGTTAGAAGTTTACATCGTTAAAAAGACCATGCCCACAGGCTACATTTTCTTCTTCCCCATTTCCTTTTTCGCTTGTTGGATCCTCTCTATCCACCTCAGTAGCCTGAAAGACAGATTGTTCCGATGGTTCACCATCACACACCTACAATATGTTTCACAAAAGCTACATTATAATGTCATTGTGGCAAAACACCTACCATACAGACATTTACCATATCGGCTGCCAGTGTTGCTACAGGCCGGCCTTGCTTCGCATTCAGGTCCTCAACCACTTCGGTTGTGATCACATAATCTTTCTCCGCTACAACAGCCTAACCCATATTTCGAACAGACAATTTACCACCACTATCATACATTACAGACAACCTAATACAAAAAGCAGACGATTACCATTTCAGGTTCAGCGATCATATCTCCAACCTCCTCCTGTACAGCCTACAAAATTAAAAAAAAGAAATTTACAGCAGACGATTACATGCTATCTCACAAATCTGTTTCCAAAATCAGCCAACATAAATGAAACACCGAAAAAGTGTTTAAAATGGTGTTTTAAAAATCGTTTGAACTTAGATTGAAATATCTCCCGCACCCGCACCACTACAATGGTACATTCTACAACATTACATGTTGTCTAATGGTTAGAAATTTACATCAGTAAATAGACCATGTTCAACGACAACCATTTTGGTGTCCCCATGTGTGTCCTCCTCGCCTTGGGGAGGTACCTCATCTCTAAGGTCCTCATGTACAGCCTTACCAATTCCAACATCCTACAAATTGAGGCAAAAAACAGACAGATTTAGATAATATGATACAAATACACACAGATGCAGTGAAAAAAAAAACATTTAAGGTAAAGGTACAGACATTGACCTCTTCACCATCATCACCAAGTTCTACAACAACATGCACATCATTCGCTTCATTCTCAACAGCCTAGAAAATGAGACAGACAAAAACAGACAGATTCAGACAATATGATACAAATACAGACAGATGCAGTGAAAAATAACATTTAAGGTCAAAGTACAGACATTGAGCTCTTGACCAACATCACCAAGTTCTACAACAACAGGCACGGTATTCGCTTCATTCTCAACAGCCTACAAAGTGATACAGACTGATTCAGACAAATACAGACCGATTCAATGAAGAACACACATTTATGGTAGAAGCACAAACATTTACCTCGACACCAGCTTCAGTAATGACAGACATCTCAGGCGCTCCATTCGCGACATTCTCAACACCCTGCAAAATGAGACAAATACAGACAGATTCAGACAATATCATAGAAATACAGACATGTTCACTGAACAACAGACATTTAAGGTAAAAGTACAAACATTGACCTCTACATCATCATCACCAATATCTACAACACCAGGCACTTCCATGTCTTCACTCCTCACCTCTTGTTGCTCAGTCTCATCTGTATTATCAGGCTCATCGGATTCCTCATCGGATTCCTCAGTATCAGCCTCATCGGATTCCTCTACCTCATCAGATTCCTCAGATTCCTAAAATAGGATTGAAAAAGAACGCATTAACATTTCGAAGTGCAAAAAAAAAATCCATACAGACAACTGTAAATACAATAACAGACAATTTAATAAAGGTGCAGACATTGACCTCATCGGATTCGACATAGCTTTCATCAGAATCGTCTTCTTCATCTTCAGTGTCTTCCAAGTCTTTAATTTCAGCAACATTTTTTTCAGTTGCTTTGAGCCTCCTTTCAAGTTCTTCAATTCGTGCACGCAATAAAGTCAGTTCATTATTTGGAACATCGTCAGTGCTTTCCTCAACATCTCCCTCATTCTCCTCCTCCTACAACATCAACATTGAGATAGATAAATAAATAAATAAATAAATAAATAAATAAATAAATAAATACATAAATAAATAAATAAACAGAAAAATGTTTGTGTCCCGTTTAATTACAATGTCTTTAACACAATAAGCGAAGCAATTACCTCAACAATGTCTTTAAAGACAATTTTTTGTAGATTGTGGGCATGGTAAAACCCATCCGCAGTCCACTTGAGCATAGGAATTTGTTTTGTAGGAACAACAGGTGTGGCAAACTTTTGTGCAAGGACAGGAAGTTCCTCATATGCCCAAACCTACATGGGTTGATGAGTGTCACACAAACAAATGATTAATGTATACAAACAACTTATTAATTTATACAGACAGTTAATGTAAAAAGTAAATTTCATATAGATGGTTTACCTGTAAAGCAAACGGGAACCCGTACAAGGTGAACTTTGCGTTGCGAAATCTCGGATTTGCATTTTTGCTCGCTTGAAACTTTTGGGGTTGCCCTTTCATAGTCTTCTTTAAACTCTTCACCGTCTCTTTGTACGACTGGAAGGACCATGGGCAAGACTTAAACAGCTCGAAGTCATCCACTAAACGTAAGTAATCGGGATGTATCAGTGTTGGGTAGTCTCGAGCAAGAAGGCAGCAATGAACCAAAAACAGAGAACCTAACTTCACGCGATCCATAACATCCTCATTCTCATCCTTCCGAGTAGTGCTCAGTTCTTCAAGTTTCTCCTTCAACTTGATATAGGATACATGATCGCAGTCCCCAAAATATTTATCTACCACCCCCAACCGTTCTTCATCAAGATCATACGTAGGCCACTCCATCGGATCATGTATGCCAGTAATCCTCTTGAAGTCCTGGTATGTGAACTTCAGCAACTTGCCATCCACTGCAAACCATAACTCATCTTCCGGCTGGTCACGCACAAGGCGTAATAGCAACAAATGAATGAGTTGGGCAGAAAATTGCATAGGTGGAGCATCGGGCAAATGGCCCCATGGAGTTTTAATAAGCATAGTCATTTGTTTCAGCGTCAAGCATTCGCTCAATAGTTGCAGTGCTTCAGGGAATGCGGACCGTACAGAATACTGGGCAGGGAAGTAATCTTTAAGAGGAATTTTCAATTCCATCCTGAAAATAATAACACAGACATTTGTTAAACACTTAGACATCTTATGTACACACAAAAATCATGGGCACAGACAGCTCAGGAAAACAAAGGAAAACATTAATGAGACAAACATCTTACTACCACACAAACACACTACACAGACAAGCCTACACAGACACCTTTAAAGTAAAAGAACACACTAGACAATTCAACAATGGCATGCAGGCAACTCTAAATTCGTGTACAGACAAGTGAATAGGACATACACTACTCAGACATCTCAAAAATGACAACAACATTTAAGAACACACAACACAGACAACTCTAGAGAACCATAAAGACAACTGTCTTATGCGCAAACGAGTAAGACTACACACTACACAGACATCTCACAAATGACAACAACATTGAAGAGCACACTACACAGACAACTCTAGAGAACCATAAAGACAAATGGCATATGCGCAAGCGTGTAAGACCACACACTACACAGACATCTAACAAATGACAACAACATTGAAGAACACACTACACAGACAAATCTAGAGAACCATAAAGACAACTGTCATATGCGCAAGCGTGTAAGACCACACTATACAGACATCTCACAAATGAAAACAACATTGAAGAGCACACTACACAGACAACTCTAGAGAACCATAAAGACAACTGGCATATGCGCAAGCGTGTAAGACCACACACTACACAGACATCTCACAAATGACAACAACATTGAAGAACACAATACACAGACAACTCTAGAGAACCATAAAGACAACTGTCATATGGGCAAGCGTGTAAGACCACACTACACAGACATCTTACAAATGACAACAACATTTAAGAACACACTGCACAGACATCTGAAAAACCGCAAAAATATGAACACACTGAACAAGTAACATCTGAAAAAATGGAATAAAGAGCTAACTCCAAACATGGTCAAAATCAAAACATGATAAAATACGGTTTTACTCCCAAAAAAACACAATATACACTACAAAATGGTCCAAATCAAGCACATAATACCAAGATTAACAAATAAACTTCAAAATAATTCATGCGTGTCAATAGTCCACCGAAAAACAACCAAGAACAAACATAAACTCAACAATGCAAGTGCTAGCCTCCAAAAAAAATAAGGGAAAAATTAAGTGAGAAATTAACTCAAAACAAGGTGAGAAAAAAAATACCTTTGAGCCATTTCCGTCAGGGAACTGCGAACCATTTCCTCAAGTGGACCGCCTCACTTTCGCAGATGCTCGGAGACGCCGGAACGAGGGTGGAAGTAGCGACGGATTTCGGTAGGGTAGAGAGGGGGAGTGTCGTGGTTCTGTCGATGGAGGGAGAAGAGTGGGGTGAAGCCGTTCCTCGGAGACGCCGGAGCGAGGGTAGAAGTAGCTACGGACTTTGGTAGCGTAGAGAGGAGGAGCGTTGTGGGATGCGGGAAGAAGAAGAGGTGGAAGAGAAAGGGGGGAGCGAAATGGAGAGTGGGATGCGGGAAAGAGAAGAAAGGGGGCGCACGCATGGGAAAGGGTGGGAGGCGCACGTGGCAGGATTCAAATTAGGGGTGGGGGGTTAAATGGGTTAGAAAAGGGAGGGGGTGGGCTTTTTATGATGTGTAGTGGTGTGTAGAAGTGCTGTGTACACATAGCATTTGGAATTCCTTCCGTCTTTCAGTTGGGGCGTCAATCGGAAATGACTGCCCATTGATAGTCACTAGGATCAACCTTCACATGTCATTTTTCCTTCCGTTTTACTACATTTTCCTGTGCTGTTTTTATTATGACATGAATGAACAAATACTCCCAAAAAAAACTCTGACAATAGGGTGTATTGACGTGTATAAAAACGTATACAAAAGAATTTTTGAAATATTATGAACATGATTGCTTTTTGGCTGCTTTAAATCCTTCATGGATTTATAGAGGAAACAAAAGAAAGTGATTTATGAGAGGAGCTCTTTGCGATGCAATCGATCTGCAATCTTCTCTGCGAATGTTTTAAATTTCTTTTTAGCTTGGGGAGATAATTTAGTACGTAATATTATTTTAATGTAATGAATTCTAATTTTCAAGTAGACAACAAATATGGGCTGGAACAAGTGAGGCAAGCTTCTTCACTAGTTCAATGCCTAATAACTCCACTTTGTATTATGTGTAACACAAACTTTTTTATTTATTTAACATTTGTCACAATTTATTGAGACTATAGATTACCACATGAGTGATGCTTTATGTCTCAACCAAGTTTGACAAAACACCACAAGTCTACAATCTTCTTTAATTTGCATCTCGCAAATGTTTCTTGTTCCAAGAGTTCCAGTATTCTATAGGCTAATCCACAATCCCAAAAGGATTTATTACATACCCACAAAACTTTGTCACTTACAACTAACTTATGAAACTTGGTAGAAGATAGAATGGGATACTTAATAATATCGTATCTAAATTGGTCATTACTATTTAAATATATATACTATGTATATATCTAGAAATGGTTTAAAAAGTTTTATGCAATATCCGAATAATTAAATTGAATAACATAAGAAGTTGATGTTCAAAATCATAAAGCAAAAAAGAAACTCTATTGAACCCGTGAATAGTACTCCGAGGTACTACGTAAATTGAGAAAGTTTAATGAGACCAAATGAATACTTCTGTTCTTGAAGCAAAAACCGCAATGCCAACGAACTTAAAATATCATTAACCTTTTATTTTAACGTCTTTTCACTTCTACTAAAATGTGATGACCACTTTAGTTTCTAATTTTTTTTAAACGTTTTTTTTGCATATCCTTCAATTCTAAACTTAATATAATATGATATTAATATCCGTGCAAGATAATGACAACTTTGACATCCTTTATGAATGTTTTTAATTGGTTTTAATTTTTTTGATCATGTCTACTCTAGCTTGAACTACTTTGATCTAGTTTATTACTCCCTCCTTCCCTCTATTAAGTTCCTACTTTGACCTACATACATATTTAGGAAATAAATTTGACTTTACTATTTAGACACTGTTTGACACTATTTAGACACTGTTTGACACTGTTTAGACACTGTTTGTCACTGTTTTGCACTGTTTTGATGTAGGATAACTTTCCATTTAGGAAAATGAGAAGATTATTTTGGGACGGCCCAAAAAGGAAAGTAGGAAGTTAATAGCGAGACGGAGGGAGTAGATATTTTTACTCTATGTGTATTTTACAACCGTTAAAGTATAATTTGGTCAACGTCTGTCTTATGTGTATTTTACATTTTACAATGGTATCTTTTATGGCATCTTGGATTGATGAATCTAATTCAATTAAAAACATCTTGGTACACTTGTAAATGATTAAAATCATCTTATTTTTTTTCTTATATAGGTATCATATGCTAATTTATTTTACGGCATGAGGTGGAAGAATAAATTCTAGCCACCTCGATCAATTAAAAAAATGCCACAGCGCCATAGACGTCATAGCCCGAACATATCCCTAAAAACTCTAATTTAAACCTTTTTGGGACAATTGGGATCATTGGAACTTTTGTTGATTCTTTTTATTTTTCACTTAAAAGTGAATTTATAATTGGCATGATCTAATCTGATCTGATTAATCTGATCTAGGTTTACTAAAGCATCTCGAATGCTAGAATGTGCACGGTGTACATGTGGCATGAAATATAGCCACATAAATATTAGCAAATAAATTATCTCTCTCCTTAATTGAATGATTCTATACCATTTTGGTATGTTTTTTTCCTGCAATGTCAATTGCAATGCCAACATCTAGACGGGCTCCTTGACATATGGTTAAAAACTTATCAAAACTGTATAAAATCATTCAAATAAGAAGAGAAATAATTTATTTACTTATATTTATGTGGCTATATCTCATGCCACATGTGCACTGTGCACATCCAAATTTTTATGCCCGTAGATGAACTTTGTCAACTTCCATTTTTTTATTGTCTCATTAAACTAACTTTGTCATTTTCTCTTTTAAGTAAAAATTTTGTGATTCCAGTTAATTAATTTTATTTTCTATGCACAAATCTCAGCACAATGTTTACTGTATTAATCCCGGTGTCAGTCAAAACTGAAGGTAGGGAAGAAGTATGTACCTAGGGCTTATAAAAGATGAGAAAAGAAAAAATATATCCTTGTAATATGTGTGTGAGAACAATATACCCCTGTTCTATTTTTCGAAACAAATATACCCCTAAAGTATATGTTGGAGTGCATATATACCCATGAACTTTAAAAAGTGAAAAAATACCCCTCATTTTCTTATAAAGGAGCACATTTATCCTTGTTGACTTTAAATAGATAAAATGAATTTCAAAAAACACCAAAAATAAATTAAAAATTAAAAATTTAAAAATAAAGAGGTATTATTATGTTAATTAATTAAATCTTTAATTTACATTGAAAATTTATTATTATTCCTTTGTAAATGAGCACCTCAAATTCAAAAATATTAATTTTAGTATTGTTGTGAAAATTTGAACACATTGTTACAATTTTTTGAAATAACAATAGGTGGGAGGATTCGGCCGGTGCACATGTGGCATGAAGTCCTAAAATGTGCACGGTGCACATTTTATATATAAGTAAATAAATTATTTCTCTTCTTATTTGAATGATTGTATATAGTTTTGATAAGTTTTTAGGACCTCTACAATTTTTAGAAACAATTTTTAGTATTTTAGGACCTCTAGGGTTAGTTTTGTTGCACTGTTCTTCCTTCTCGATCGTTAGGGGGGAGGATTCGGCTGCAGTTTTTTTCTTCGTTTGGTTGAGTTCGAACATGGAGGGGAGGATTCCGGCTTTGTGAATTCTTCGTTTGGTGAATAGGGAGCAGCAGGACCTTGTTTCGGTTCTTGTTCAATTTGCTAGTGGCCGGTC